AGAATAGCAAAAGGGGAAAGAGTTTCCAATTATATTATTAACCATCATTGATACACAATGAAAACATCCTTTGTCCGATACATCCAATTCACCAGACAACAATCCTATCTAGAGCAAATATTCTACCTAAGACACATACGACACAAAATCAACCCTATTCAACCTTTGCAGTTACTGTACTCACGACCCCTTCAAGCTTCAATGATAACTTCTAAGAAACTCCAAAATGTCAAAAGAGCCAAATAAATTGCGAGTTCGCTACATTAAAGCCACACAGGCACGTTTACTTGGCAAATGATTACAAAATCCAATGGCATCAAGCTGCTCCCTATAAGATCACTCTTTAATTAACTAGTGACATCAAGACTGGAGAAGGGCACCGATACAAAACAAAAATATGCAACACTATATTAGAACAGTACCCTTCAGCTAAATAAAAAAAACCTTAAAAAGTCGATCAACCACCCAAAAAATCTCTTGGAAACAACCAAATCCTGTTTTCGCTATTGAATTTGCAGCTGATGTCCACTCATTCTCATAAGATTAACACCTGGTCATGCGACGACTAGGAATCGAAAACTCTCAGTCATAACCTGCTCATAGCAAGAAAACCGTCCGAACATATATACTCTATAACCAATACCTTATTATTAGTGCAAAAATGAAACAAGAGAAGCCAATTATGACACTTTGCAGCAATATAGATTAGCCCATCTCATAATGATGACATCAGGACTTAAGGGCCTCCTATTCGAACTCAAACGAAATCAAACGATATCAACAATCGAATCATATTAAATAGGTTTAATGAGCCAACCAAAGCATAGCTTGCGACCTACCAATGTAATTTTTTGCCAAAGAGTCTGCATCAGAATTTAAAACTCTACGAATGAGATTCACCCTCCACACAAAAGAGCTGCGCAATTTTAAACATTCTTGGATTTCTTCTTTCTATGGATGTGGAAATGTGAGCGGGTTTTTTAACCAGTTACGAACCAGAGAGCAGTCGGATTCAATTAATAAACTGTGATTTTTGGACCACTTGGATGCTCGGAATAATAAATAAGCTTCTTTGATAGCCAAAATTTCAGCATTTGTTGGATCCATAAGATCGACAGATCTAGAGAAACGCAACAATACTTTATTTGAATCGTCTCTCGTAATTCCACCTATGCTGATGAGTGTTTTAAATTGAATATATTTACTTATTAATTCTTCCACAATTTATTACTACTGATTTGATTATGTTTCACTTAATTATGTGCATGAATCTATTTTTTAAAATCAACAACAAGAAGACGCATTCTACATTTTTTTATCATCTGATTGTGGCTGGAGACATGATGCAGTCTACCATGACAGTTTTTAAAAGGTACAGTAAGTGACAACATTTTCTAGAAGCAGTCAAATCAACATTATAGACAAATTACATTATTTAAGAATTTAAGTTTAGTTTCTCAAAAAAAAAAAAGAATTTAAGTTTGAATTTGAAAACTACTTTTGGATTTTCAGTATTTATCTTTTGGATATTTTATTTTAAATTTTCATGTTATTTTTAGGAATCCGAAACTATAAATATCCCCTTGAGGTATTGCACGAATCTACTTGTTTCATTGGTTTTACAAAATTCCTGGGTTTTTATTAAAGTTATTTTTTTTTATTTTTACTTATTTTTTTTATTTTCTTTTTAAACAAATGCTAAATATGATTTCTATTATGGTTAGCTACACTTTAATTAGCCAATGACTTAGCGATGACTCATCCATTTAGTGAGAATTGAATAACACTTAATATATTCCTATATCATTCTTAATTTTATGTAAATTTAGATTGACAATCGACATTTCATTTAAAAATCTCAACACTTTAATTTCAAAAAGAACTCGTTGGTCTGGATGTTGTTATGATTTATAGTTGGGAGGAAGAGTCGACTGATAGCAAATTCGACTTCTTATGAACACACTTAGCGATTACATGCTAAGGAAAATTGAGATCGAATTCAATTCTCATTGAGGCAACATAATTCGAGTCGGACTTTTCAGCGCTTAAAGTTGTTTTGGTGCTAACAGCGATAGCCATGATTAGTCTAAACAATAATTGAATTTAAAAGATTTACTTGAGAATATATGTTTACTGGAAAGAAAAGTAAGTTACAAGGGTTGAGCATTGTAGACTTTAATTAACATCAATCCCGAAGTAAAATCTCTTTCGATGATCGAAATGAATTAAGGAAAAACAATGCTTAAGGCTATTTTCCATCATAATTGTTGTCAACTATTTACTTTCATCCTTTGTCAATTTTATTTAGTTAATTTTATTTAATTTTTATATTAACAAACCCCTTTTTCTTTTTTACTTACAATTTTACTTAGATTAATATCAACACAACATGACATTGAAATTTTTTAAATCCATGTGGATTGACTCTTTATTCTCTATACTATGTTTTAATTTATTTTATTTGAGAAAAAAGAAAAATTTATTTGATAATTACAATGTTTGTCTAATCCCGACAACTCCAAAGCTTCCAACAACAGCTCCATCCACATTAAATTTCAAGACCCTTGAGGTGGAGGACACCAAGATTTAACCGACTTGCAAGGCAGATTAATTGTAGAAACTATGTAGGGATCAATCATAAAATCAGATATAGATATCAAATTATCCGACCACTTACACTTACACCACTAGATAATCCTCAAAATCGACATGTCAAAGGGTTGAGCTTCGTCCAAAAGTTTCCCATTAAAATAAAATTCATTTCGAAAAAGCCATATTGACCACACAATACCAAAGAAAACCATGTACCAAACTTGTTTTGATACATCATTTACAGGGAAACACAACCAGATAAAAAAAGAATGACGATATTCTTAGGCATGACTATTTGAACTCCCTATATACATAATCATCGCAGCCAAATTCTCCAAGATATTAGCCAATGACAAAACAAGTGAGACAGTGATTCCACTTGACATAGAACAAGAAAAAAAACAGTTGATGAACAAGATAACACCTCTTTTATATAATTCCAGTTTAGTAGCAACTCTTCTTTGCAACAACTTCGAAGAAAATAATTGAACCTTGAGAGGATCTAGATTAGACCAAACAACTTTTTAGGATTCTGTCGGATTCATCCCAATAGAAGCTGATAAATTACAATAGAGTTTAGGATAATAAATACCATTTGAGTTTCCAATCCATCTGATGCTATCATGAGATAAAGAAGAGAACGAAAATCTGTTGAGGACTCTAATAAAGTCATCTCATATCTGTTTTTTCCCAACCGAAGATAATTCTTCTCAGACTAACCTACCATTGCCAAATACAATTTACAACGATACCAAATTCACATACCTTTTCGGTTTTCTTTATTGCTAACAAATAAGTGCGAGGAAAAGTGTCTTTCCAATAAGAACGGCCAATCTACGAAGTCGTATGCTTTCTTGAAATATACTTCAAAAACCTAAAGCTTTCGAGCCACTCTTTCGAACCATATCGATGACTTCAATTTCGATGAGAGAGCAATCAAGGATTTGTTTCCCAGGAACAAAAGCAAACAGTGTATCACCTACCACTTCACCCAAACAAATAGACAGCCTCCTCGCAAGCACTCTCGCTAAAATTTTATATATACTGCCAACAAGACTTATGGACTTGAAATCCTCGGGACACCAGGAGACGCCACCTTTGGAATAAAAAAAAATGAAGGAATAATTGAATGATAAATCAGTCACCCAGTTCTCAGTTTTAATCGAATTAATTGATTGAATTGAACTAATTCAATTAATTTAGTCGATCATAAAATTAGTTCGTTTGGAGAACAATTAATCTTTTTTCAATATTCAATTAACAATTAATTCCGTTGGAAATTGTTAATTAATCGAATTAACTCAAAATATTAAATATGTTATATATATATATATATTAAATACATATTTTAAACTCAAAATCATTAAAAACTAAGATTCAATTATTTTTTCTCACACTAGTCAGTAAATTATTTTTTAAAAAAAGTTTGGTTCGGTTAATGGTTAAAGAAAAAACCATTTAATTCAATTAATGAAAATTCGATTTGAACGGGGTCGAATTAACTGTTTAAACACTCCTACAAATAACAGTTGCAATGAAAAATTCATATATTTCAAAAAGTCCAAATCAGGTTATTTTATTAATAAAGGTTTAATATAAAAAGTGATCAAACTTTTATCAATCTAGTGTTTAACGTTGTAAACGTTATCATTTTAAGTGTCTCGGTCGTAATGGTCGTTAAAAAATTTCGTTAAGTGATACGTGTCATACTTATATAATTTTGATTTTTTTTTAAAAAAATTAAAATTATAAAAAAGTTAATTTCTTTAAAATTGAAAAAAAATCCTAAAATCTTAGGGTCTATTTGGTTTTAGAAAATATATTTATTTTCATTTTCATATAAAATAGAAAACATTAGAGAAAACGTGTTTAATTGTACAATTAAAAAATAATTTCTAGAAAATAAAAACAAAAATAAGTGAAAATATAAAAACATACAAGAGATGTTTTCAGTATTTTTATTAAAATTATTTTGAAAATTCAAAAAGTAAGAATATATTATATCTAGAGTTTTAACTTAACTTACACATGTTTAAATTATTCTAACAATAATTTTTTTATTTAATAGTATTCGAAACTCTCAAACTTTTGTAAAAAAAATCAATATGGTTCCAATGTATTCCTTAAATTAATTTTTTAATAATTTAATTTTGTAATATTTTATATTTAATTAATTAAATATCTTAATAAATGTTATATTTTATATTTTTAATTTAAATAAAGTTTTTCTTTTTTTAAAAAAGAAAAAATCCTCAAATTTTTTAAAATAATCAATTAAGTAAACCTACCACATCATCGTTCATCGAGTATTGTCATAATAATTTTGTGAATTGTTACATTAATATCATAGATTTTCATGTAATTTTTTTTTCTAATTTTTTAAAAATTAACGAAGCATGCATCTTTCGGCAGTCGATAACTAAAGCGGAGACAACTCCAGTAGCACAACCACTGCTCAGACTACAAAGGTAGGAATTTATAAGCAACTCGGATAAACTATAACATACAACTTACAGATTGGAAGCAGCATCCTTGTCCAAGAACCAAACCAACTCCCCTTCTGGTGAAACCATCTGAACAGGCAGCGGATCGGAATTTTGACTGTTTCTTAATGCGGCATGCACTGAACCAGCTTTACCAGCACCGTACACCACGAGTGCAATGTTAGCAGATGAGTTGATAACAGGGAAATTGAATGTGATTCCCTCTGGGGGTGGTTTTGGTGAGTCCTTAATGAAGGTAACCCACTTTTCGTTCTCCTTGACCAGATGGTGGCCTGGAAAGAGAGAAGCCACATGTCCATCTGGTCCCATTCCCAGAAGCATGAGATCGAACTTTGGAAACCCAGTCGCGGCCGAGACACTAATCACGTTGCTCTTAACCAAGTGCGTGAGACAAGTCTCGTAGTCATCAGCTGCACCATCAGCAGGCAGTGCATCATTGATGGCATAGACTTTACCCCGGAGAATCGGTACCTGAAGGAGAGAAAATAACATGTTTAACTTGTTTTGCCTTGGAAAAACTGGAATACTAACATCATCCTAGAACCAGCAATGGTAGATCGCTTGGCTAATTATTAGATTTTCATCATACACCACAAAAAATGGAAAACTACAAGAAAAACATTACAATTTAACAATGTCATATTAACAATTCAAAGGAATAACACCTTTTCTTTTGTTTTTTTTGGATGATTTAGTGAATTAAACAGGAAAACCTGCCACAAAGAAAAAAACATTACAACAGTCAGGGATGGACCAAGAGGGATGTTGGAGTATGGTCGCATCAACTAAAAATTTTAAATTTCTAATATAACTTTTAAATTTCGCACCTCTTGAAATTTTGTAATTTCGTACCTTCTAAATTTCTAATATAAGTTCCTTATGTTCTCAACCGTTGCTTCCGCTCTTGCAACAGGGATAAGCACAGCAACAAAAGCTAACTCAAAATCTCCCTACTCATCCCCTAATTGACGACTAAAACCCTTTTCATACACACCAAATTAGCAAATCAATCCAGTCATAAATAACCAAAAAATTTGATTATATGCACAGTCTGAATTATAATAGTAAACTAGAAATGTCATATTATTTGATAATACCTTAGAAAGAAATCCATCAAAAGCTAGCTTATAGTTACTGTCATCGTGATCCTTAGGAACAACCCTTTCATCCACTCAGAAAACATGCCAGGTTGACCAATCCACCGCATCAACATATGGGAGTTCCACCAGTTTACTGAAACTTCAAAAATTTCATGACAGCAATTCTCAGAAGATCATACCCAGAATAAAGAAAACCAAGATTTTGTAACATGAAGATACTCATTTTTTTTCATTTAAATATTATTTATATTATTATTATTATTATTATTATTATTATATATTATTATATATATTATTATATATATTATTATTATTATTAAAAAATTACAAGCCCAAATCCCAGACCCAACCAGAATCGGCCCAGACCCAAAAGGAAACCCTAAATCAATTTAAGGTTTCAGCTAGGGTTTCTAAACCCTAGCACTACTGCTGCCGCCGCCTCCAGAAGTCCTCAGCCACCGCCGTTGGTTCCAGAAGGCCACACGTCCGTTGCCTACGCTCCACCAATGCCACGAAGCCGCCCCGAAGAAGCCTCCAGAAGCTCTGCTGCCACAACCCCGACCGTCCACGTCGCCTCTATGGTGAGTCACCAGCATAGCTTTGGTGACTCACCGAACTTTTCATCCTTTAGACCGGTCCGACGAGAGCCACACTGAGGCTATAAAGCCTCAGTTCCCCTGCAAGCAAAAAAAACCCAGCAAAAAGCAGAGAACAAAAAAAAAACAGAAAGCAACAACACAACAAAAAAAAAAGGGAAAGAAGAGAAGCTTACCGAGGAAGCCACGACCGCCGGACCTCACCAAAACCTTCGAAAATCGAAGGTACTTTATTAGATTTGCTCCAATCGGGAGCTATTTAGAAGAAAAGATAACCGGAACCGTCATTAGGACGGTCCGATCTACATTGTGGTGTAAAAATAGATTTTTCCGGCCACCGGATGCGGTGGCCGGCGGTGAGAACTACGGCGGCAGACGGCTGCCGCCCGGTGACCGGCTTCCCTCCGGTGAGGGAAGCTAGAGAGCCGAGAGAGCTTCTTCTTCTCTCGTTTGTGAGAGAGAAGAAGAAATGAGAAGAATGAGCTGCTGGCCCTTCGGGCCAGCTATGAAGGGGCTTAAATAGCCCTCCCCAAACGACGCCGTTTTGGGGAGGGATCTGTTTGTAATTTTTTAAAGGTTAAATCCCGTCCGCAGTCATCCTAACTTGTAATCTTTACATTTTAGTCACTAAATCAATTTATAATCCTTTTAATTCAGTTCTTTAATTTTAATTTTATTTATTTTAGTCCTTTGTATTAAAATAATATATTTAGGGTAAATAATAGATTTAGTCCTTTAATTTTAATAATTAATATTTTAATCTGAATAGTATGTTTTAATTTATTTTAATCTGATATTCGAATTTTATATAATTTTAATTTAGTCACTAAATTAATAAATAAGAAAATAGCATGTTTAATCCCTATAATTTTGATTAATTATGAATTAGGTATTTAATTTTAATTTTATTATAATTTAGTCACTAATTTTAAAAATTTTCATTTATTTTACTGCTTTTAAATATATAGTTCTAATTGTATTTTTATTGTTTTAATTTTACTTGTTTATATATTTAAATATTATTTTTATTATTATTATATAGTCATATAAATATATATAATAAATAATAATTTATATTTGTTTTACATAAATTATTTTTTAATATTTATTTATTTATTTTTCAATATCGAAGAAAAGGCAGTCTTAATACAACTGGATGTCCTATTCTGGTATTTTAAAATTAAATATTATAAAAAATTATAATTTTATTATATTAATATTTATTAATATCGAAGAAAAGAGCTGTCTTAAGGCACCTAGAAGTCCTTTTCTGATATTTCTAAATAAATAAATATTTTATTTATAAATATATATAAATTATTTTTTTCTTTTTTCTCATAATTATAATTTTGAAATAATAGGATTATAAATTAAATATATTTTGAATTTTTAAATTTCTAATAATAGAGACAATTTTAATTAAAAAGTACCAATTTTGGGCGTTGTAGGGGTGCTAATTATTCCCTAAACGTAACCGACCACGAATCCCTTTTTATTATTAAAAGAAAGAATTTTTGGTTATAAACGCAGATCAGTTCATCTTTTAACTGATGTTTTCTTAAAAACTCTGTTAAAAGATAATTCTTAGGTATTCGACCTACCTGACTCAAAAGGCCGATGGCGACTCCCAAATTATTTTCAAAACCATTTATTCACATCAATTTTCCCGTCAAGTAAATATTTCGTGCCCGGACGAAAACCAGTTACGACAGCTTGGCGACTCCGCTGGGGAAGCTGGTCAAACTTTTAAAATCAATTATAAATTGTCTCTATTAATTATAAATTAAAAATTCATATATTTTATTTATAATTCTTTCTTTTCAAATTTTTTTATATACTTATTATTTTCATAATATTTATATATTTTCTTATTAATATTTCATTTTATTTACAAGTATTTTATTTCATTATTTATTTTTCTGTCAGAGGTTTGAACATTTCTCCTCACACACAACACTTGCATTACATAACATAAAGCTCTATAACTGAGTTTGTCCCTTTTAAGTGGGAGTGAAAGCGGCGTCTTCGTGAGAATTTATTCTCTGTGTCAGACCTAACAAGTAACTTTTGGGGTTCATATGCTCTATGTCTTCGTGAGAATTTATTCTCCGTGTCAGGCATAGAGAAATGTATCCCCTCGAATTGAACTCGGTCCACTTTAGTCTGTGATGGACTAGGATTGAGGGTTAGCAACCCAAGGGGGCACTAACAAGGACAATTCGGATACCTTTATTCTTAGATCTGAAACCTTGCATATAATAAACCCTAGAAACTCTTCCGATCTGAAGCCATGCTGAAATTTTGTCCAAAATAGGTGTACACACAGGAGAAATGAATTTTAACTTTCCTTTTAATTTATTTATTTATTTTCTTACTGATTAATTACATGTAAATTTAAATAATTATGAAAAAGCATGTTTAAATAAAGATATTTAGGTAGATATTATTATTAAATTTCTTTATTATGTAAACTAATTCATTTCTTTTTGTGTGTTCTTTATTTTTTCTGTTTGCATAGCATCATACAGGATAAAAGGCATTGATCCTCGTGTTAATTGTCTCATTGGAAAGCCTTCATCCATGGATAAAAAGTGTTCAAATCAAATAATTCTAAACTCAGAAGTAAGACAGTGGGCTGAGGACTTACAAAGACAATGAGGAGACAGTCTGCAAGATGATTATGTATCGGACTTGGTCAGTTATGCTCCAGTTTCGCTAAAAAGAAATGACATGCAAGATTTGCGAAGCATTTGGGAAAGTTGGGACTCAAACAAAAAGTTACAGTTTTATCAGACTTATGGAGACATCCCATATTTGCTCTATGTCGAAGCTGATGATGACTTACTTCGAGCCCTAATTCAATTCTGGAATCCAGGGTACAATTGCTTCACTCTCAATAAGGAGGACTTGGTCCCTACTATTGAAGAGTACACAACTTTGCTACATATAGAAGGGGCTTTGGAGAATCGAATTTATTCAAAGTCAATTAAAACTCAACCCTTTCGAGTTAAATTAGCAAAGATTGCCGGGGTACGAGAAGAATGGGTGGCATCCCATACAAAACAAAAAGGCGAAAGCGAAGGCATTGCTTGGACCAACATTAAAGAACTTATTCAGAGTCATCCAGACACTAAAGTACGATTCGATCTATTTGCTCTGAGTATGTATGGTATGGTCATCTTCCCAAAAGTATTGGGATATATTGAAGCTGCAGTAGTAGATTTGTTTGAGCAGCTACCAAAAAAGATTAATCCAGCTTCTACAATTCTAGCAGAGACTTTCAGATCGTTAAATGCTTGTAGAAAGCTAGGAGGTGGACGATTCTCAGGGTGTACCCAATTGTTATATGTTTGGATCCGTAGCCATTTCTGGAGGACAGAAAAGGTTTCATACCGACGCTTTAATACGGATTACTCACCATTAAAAGAATTTCTGGAGCAAGAATGGCCGAAATAAATTAAGAAAGATATGTGGATTAATGCCTTTCGAAATCTGCAAAGCAATGACATTGTTTGGCGAGCCCCATAGCAAATCCAAAGGGAATTCTTTTACAAATGTGGTGATTACAACTGGATAATGCTGCTCGGATTGTGGGGAGGAATTGGATATGCACCACTTCTGGTCATAAGACAGTATGAAGGTCGTCAATTTGTACCTGTCACCGCTGGATTACATTCATCTGAGTTCGCATTCCATAGCAAAAATTATAAAAGAAATATCATGGAAGCTGTTACAGCATGAAAAACAACTTTTTGTATCCGAGCTAAAGCAGCAAAAGAAATGCTAACTCCTGATTATGAGGAATGGAGATCTATCAGGAAAAATGAAAATATTCCTCTACCAGATCAAAATGAGGATATCTCTATGGAAGATCGCATTAA